CCAGTGAGTAATGTGGTGAAGCCATTGTCTACACTCGCATGGGTCCTGCTGGCCCGGCCTGTGCTCTCGGGACAGTGAGATAGAGCAGGCCAGGAGAGGCGGCTCCCGTGGGCAGGAAACGTCCTCTGCCCCATCCTCACAAGCAGGCAGGGTCCAGTGACCGCCACGGTGCCCCTCCGAGGTCCTTGAAGCGCGACAGGCAGAAAGTGAAGGTCCCAAGTCCCTCCAGGGCCACGCTGACCACAGGCTGCCTGGCCCTGTCTGAACACCCTCAGGCTCACCGTCTCAGGATGGGGAGACGTTTGCGCTCGGGGCAGCTCTGTCCGGCGGACATCGGCTCAAGCCTTCCCCGGCTCTCTGCCCCCGGGGCCACGGTGGACAGGCCACCCCCAGCACCCGGCCAGCTGCACACCAGGGCAAGAGGTCAGGCACCGGGAAAGCCGTGGGGCCCAGACGCTGGTCATCCCAGAGTCCGCTCTCCCCTGAGCCCTGCCCATCGGGAACCGGGTCTGCCCGGCCCTCAGCTGCCCTGGGCGGCCAGGACTGCCCGGGTCTCTGCAGCGCTCAGAGAACACCCTTCTCCTCTGTAAAAAGCAGCTTTTTGCTCGGCCAACACTCAGAAGTGGGTTATCACGGGGGTTTGGCTGCCGGAGGGCCCCCTCGCCAGGGCAATCTGAGTCGCACACAGCTCTGCCCCGCAAGAGGCTTTCCTCCCGAACCCAAGTGTTTTCACAGCCCATTAACCCTGGTGGCGAGGCCAGGGCAGCGCGGAAGCTCTGTGGTGGCCGCTGCCTCGGACGGCCAATCACCGCAGAGGCGAAGAGGCTCTGAGATCATAATAACATGAGTCAACGCGAACCCAAATTAAATTCACACATGCTTCGCGAGCGCGGTCTGTTTTGCAAGGCAGGGCACACCGGCACGGCCAAGGACGCACGGCCAAGGACGCACGGCTCCTGCATCTGTCGGGGCCGCGGCGCAGCGTGGAGAGCAGCGCTGGTGTATTTCCCAGCCGCCAGGTTGTCGACTGCCTGTGCGGTCCTGACCCCCCGAGCACGGCACTGTGTGTGCGCGTGCAAGAGTGTGCGAGGGGTGCGCGTGCAAGTGTGTGAGGGCAAGGGCGTGCGTGGTGTGTGCATGTGTGAGACACAGATGGACCCAACGACAGAAAGAGATGCCGTGTGGCCCAATGGCTCCCACGGTTGGGAGAGCCCAGGCGGGAGGTGGGGGGGGGGCTCCCTGGGGTGCAGCGCTCTCTGGCACTTCCTGACACAGATGTTCACAGATGCAGACCACGGACTGGGGCGACACACACGCCTGGGCTGCTGAATGGAACTGAGCCAGGACAGGGATGTGAGCTCACAGCCAGGGAGGCAGGCTGGCCAGTCCAGGGGCAGCCCCGGCACAGGTGAAGCAGGCCCGGGAGGGGGCCCTCGAGGAGGGAGGTGAGTGAGCAGGGGGGCCGAGAGGAGCACAAAGGGGACCCTCACTCTGCTCTCTGTGACCCCCCCGTTAGCCGGGGCTCGCTGAAAGAGGCAACACCAGAGATCACTGCTCTGGACACAAGTGCCCCTGACATTTAGTAATAAAATCTCCTTGGGGCTCCCGGGTGGCTCAGTCAGTTAAGCGTCCGACTTCAGCTCAGGTCATGATCTCGTGGTTCGGGAGTTGGAGCCCCGCGTCAGGCTCTGTGCTGATGGCTCAGAGCTTGGAGCCTGCTTTGGATTTTGTGTCTCCCTTTCTCTCTGCCCCTCCCCTGCTCGCACGCTGCCCTCTCTTTCTCAAAAATAAACATTAATAAAAAATTTAAAAAAACAAATAATGCCCCCATTCCTTCCTTAACACGCCATAGCTTGCCACCCGGTCCCTGGTTCTGGGGGTGAGAATCAAGGGGGAGGGATTTTCAGCACAGGCCTCCCGATAGGGAAGAGGCAGCAGGGAAGGGAGCAGAAAACCCCACGAGTAATTCTAAGGCACAGCCTTCCCTAGAAAGCAGCAGAGCTCATGAGTGCGTGCGTGTGTGTGTGCGTGGACCCTATGATGCGTCCCCTAAAGCGAGCCAGTTTTGAGAGTGAAGGGGGCAGTTAACAAGCAGACTCAGACACGGGAATTAACCAGGACAGTCCTAGGAAGATGGACGGGGGCGGTCACATTGATGGGGCGCTCTTCACCCCCACTCAGTCCAGTGGAGCCCCGATGATGATCTCTTCATCACTGAGCCCCCATCTCTCCAAGATGCCCGGGCTGGGGTAAGACAAGGGCAGAGACCCCCACCCCCACCCCGAGGGGGGCACAGGCTCAGCGGGGAGAGAGCCTGGAAGCCGTGTGTCCAGGCTCCCTGCCTCCCTGTGCCTCCCGGAGTCCGTCTCTGCATGAAGCGCTCACTGGAGTGGATGTCGTATGATCAGAATTCTCGTTAAATTACGGTCTCACTTTTCATTACTTGGGCGTCAGCTTTTCTATACGATTACATGCCCTCCGTTGGTATGTTTAATGGGCGAATTCTTGCCGCGGCCTCCAACATTAACATTTAACAAAACGTTAAAGAGAAAAGTCAGCTCTTGGAGGTGGCCGACAGTAACGAGAGCAGGTCGCGTGTCCAGCTGGCGGCCCGGCCGTCACTCGACTCGGCTCCTGGGCCCGGGTCTAGGATTCAGTCTGCACTGTCACTCCTGTCTGGGGGGACATGTCTTCATTCTGTGTTATCTCCTGGAGGAACAGACGCCACATGAAGCCGGGGGTCCTGGCCTCACCTGGAAAACCCATCAGGCGGGTGCTGTCACCTGCACTGTGTCAGGGTCCCTGCGAGCTGCTCTGCTGTTGCATTTAACTCCAGATTCACTGCAGAAAATTGTAGCTCTGTCTACAGGTGTCCACGTGGACTCTGATAAGGGGACACGGCCACGGCCAGGCCTGCGCCCCTCTGACGGCAGAGACCCGCGCATTAACAACTCACTCGCTGGCTCACGGAGAAGGGAGGGGTGCGGTCAGGGAGGAGGGCACCCCAAGAGTTAGGGGTCACAGCTGTGCACAGAGAACTTTGGTCTTTACGACCTCTAAGGCTGTTCTTGCATAGACCTGCCAGACCCCAGCCTTTTTTGGGGTTACCCTGGGAATACCGCTCGCGAGAACCGTCCCCTTCCCCTGCACCTGAGTATGACACACGTGCAGGTTTTTCTGGAAGTCTCTCTGGCACTATTTCATCCAGTTTCCTTCTAGTCCTCACCCTGCCCCCCACCTTCCAGTGATTTCCGTGCCAGGGCCCAGAGACAGATAGCACCTCTGCCAGGGACGGCCCTCCCGTCCGCCCCCCTGCTTTGTCAGACATTCTCCGATATGTCTGCGGTCTTACTCTTCCATATATACTCCAGGATAATTGTGTCCAGTTAAAAATCATACTAAATACTTGAGTTAATTGGGGAAGGAAATGTCACGGCCATGGTACTAAGCATTTCCAAACAGCATCACAGTCACAGAGAGCTCCTCATTCAAAACAACATTCTGCTGGACTCCCCTATCTCATAGTTTTCATGAAGGATTATACATTTTTGTTTTCTGGCCCCTTGGCTTTCATTACATGGTCTAATGGGCTATTGCTAGCATGCATGAGAGTGTTTTCAAAAAGCATCTTCTCTTAGTAACTGGCCTCCATTCTATATGGTTTCATCAGTCGTAAAGGTTTTGGAGGGACGTTTTTGGTGATGGGGTGGGGGGGCAAGGTTCCTAGTAGACAATATCTTTTATTGTTCTGTTTTCTGGTAGACCTCATCATTATTTCTTTTTCTTGTTTTACAGAATCACTTAAAACGTTCAAAGCAATGTTATAGAACAGTATGTCGGGGAGAACAGTCTTGACTTTGACACAAATGACTTGACTGTCACTTCGGCTTCCGAGACGCATACTCTAGGAAGGGGAGGAAGAATCTTTTTATTGTGGCTTCCGAAAATCCTAAGTACGAGAGGTTAATGTCAGAAATACGTTGAATTTTCTCAAATGCCTTTCCAGCATCCACCGAGATGATCCTTTCTCTTCTGACCGTGGATGTGACGAACGGCATACAGAGCAGTGAGGGTCACGAACAATTTCAGTGCTGTTGACAAATACTGCCCGTGTGCCAACGCCCAGGAAAGGACCCAAAGGTGAAATCACCCTCATCGTCCATCAGTAAAACCTCCATGTCGTGGGTCTTACACTTTTGAAACATCACAGAATTTATTTTTTTAAGTTTATTTATTTTGAGAGAGAGAGAGAGAGAGAGAGAGGGAGGAGAGAATCCCAAGCAGGCTCCTAGCTGCCTGCACAGAGCCCGACACAGGGCTCGAACTCATGAACTGTGAGATCATGACCCGAGCTGAAGCCAACTGATGAGTCAGAGGCCTACCAACTGAACCACCCAGGCGCCCCAGAGAATTAATTTTTCTTGTACTTTACCTGGAATTTGGGTTAAGTTCCTAATGAGATGGGCCTGCTTGCTTTGTTTTGTTTTTCATGTTTCACGGGTTTTGGTATCACAGTATGACAGATACCCTGTGTGTTGGGGGCTGTCCCCAAAGAGGGGGGGGGCTTTCCACAGTCCCCAGGAGGAACGGACCCACCAGGGGTGCCTATTTATTGCCTGAGTGATCCTTGAAAGAAGAAGGGAGTCATCCAGAGAAAACATACTTTGAGGCTGATACCATTTGAGAAGTAGTTCATGAAACATTTTACGGTCATTTCCCCAGGGCTTTGTTCTTCCCAGTTTCAAAATTCTTAGGAGTATAAAAAGTTACGAGCCACTGAGAGTCCCCGCCTCGGTTTCCCTTTGGTGAGGGCCCAGCGGCTGCCGGGCGCCCTCACACGCAGCTCAGCACCGGGGCCCCACTCCGCCAAGGCCCCACGCCCACAGGCGGCGAGGGGGTGAGGGTCTGAACCTTACCCTGCGGGCCTCGGGGCCCCCGCCCCCCAGCCCTGCCCGACGGGGGAGCCCCACAAGGGGCCAGTTTCCGTGTCCTTTACTTACGTTTTCTGTTGCACCCGAGTCTCCCGCAGTCAGCCTTCGTCGGGGCCTGAGCGGCGCTGGTCCAGAGGTCTCGGCCAAGGATCTGTGAGGTGGTCTTTCCATCTGTTCACCTGTGGCTTCGATGCGTGGGGACAGGGGAGACATGCACAGAGGCCCGTGGCCCCCGGCATGGGGATTTGTTTGGCTCGATCTACGGCATTCCTGTGACCCTGGTCAGGCAGCTAAAGTTCACAGCGCTTTCTTGGCTCCCATCTGTTGCTGGACGTCCAGCTCGGGGGAAGCCAATCCCTGCTTCAAGGTGACGTGCAATTCTGCGGTTTCTAGCAAACGACAGATGCCGGCCGTAGGAAAAATAAAGCGCTGGGGACGAGCCCCTTCTCAGAGTGCTGGGCCGCCATCACACAGACTTAATTTTCTCTTCTCTGTTCTTTTGGCCAAATCCATTTCCCCCCACGGAGGAAGCTGTCGGAAGAACAGCAAGGAGCCTCTCCCAGGGGGTCACACTGAAGTGGCCTTCTCGGGAGGACCCGCAGCTGGGTTCGTCCCTCTTATCTGTCATCTGGGCTCCTTGAACGGCCAAGCGTCCGCCTTGCCCACTCCAGAGCAAAGAGCCGGGTCCACTGTGGCCTGAGACAGTGATGTCCTCCAGATGTCCCCTGTCCCCAGCCAGGATTTGCCCGCTTAGGTCAAACCATTTAAGAGGCGGGAGAGCCAATGGATGTATTTCATATTTTCTGCATTGTTTCCTGAGTCTTCTGGTAGTAAGAGAAAGTAAATCCACCCAGGCTGCGTGAGCTCCGCCTCTCCCCCGTCTGACTTTATTTATTTTTGTTCCTTCGTGCATTCTACCCGAAGTCGCTGATAGAGCCTAGCTGACTGCAGGGGCTCCACAGCGGGGGGGCATGGGGAGGGTATCTCCAGTGTGGTAGAGACAGACAGACGAGGACACAGAACCCCACTCATGCAGCCTCGCTTGCTCCCGGGGGGGCTCGGGGGCCGGGGGCCAGCACAGGCACGTCTCCTGCCTGAATCACAGCTGGCACCCAGGGGATGTTCACCTCGATCTCCAGGGGAGAGATGTCTCTGCTCCAGAAGACGAGGAAAGGGCCGGGATTTATGTCCTAAAAACAAAAATACCTGCTGGCAGCCGGAGAAGGACCGGGCCAGGGCTGGTGCGGACCAGCGTCCAACAGGGAGAAAGTCAGCGGGCTGCTGTCCAACCGCGACACAAATCATCGCGAAATGTCAGCGTCTTGTAGCAGCACGGGGGTCCGGGGCCAGCTCCTTTGCCGGCATCCTCACATTTTCCCCATTCTTTTGCAAAACAAAGACACTTGGTAACTATATCGCACATCTTCAGCTCCGAGAACGTGGGACTGAAGAGAGACACTGTGTGTGCAATTAAGATAACCACAGCAGCAGGCAAGGTGGGACTTTTAGGCAACTCTGGTTTCCATTTTTTGGACTTGGTCCCAGACCAAGTGTCTGGGCCATCGTGTTCCCCAAGTGGCTGTTCCCCTTGACAGATGACGGCCGCCACCCCCCCAAGGTGCCCACCTTGGTCTCTGATTCCTCTTTGGGGTCTCGTAACTGGGGAAGATGGTCCCCACCCCTCACCGCCCCACCCTGGGCCTGGGCTCTGCCTGCTTTGTGCCCGGTGTCTCCCAGACAGGTTGCTAACTTCCCCAAGACACGGGCCGTGTCTCCGCAAGATGCAGAACTGCAAGTGAACCATCCTGGTTTTCTTCAGCAAATATGGATCAGCGAGCTGAGACAGAGTCACCAACACGGCTTTGAGCCCGTGCACGACACAGTCCCCGTTCCCGGGCTAGGTTGGGGGACAGGGACAGCAGACCAGGAGATGAATCACAGGCTTCCAGCTTCTCTTGAGCAAGACCTGAACAAACACATTTTATTATTTTGTTTTTTGGAGCTGAGATGTTCCAGAACATTCCTTACAGGCTCACTTATCAAGTCTTTCCAGACAATGTGACTTTGGGTCAAGTTTTGCTTCTGTCCTGCCCTGACAGGGTAGCTTTGCAGGACACTACGTTGTGTTTGAGAATGTGTACGTATGGACGTCCAGCTGTCTTTAGCTCCCGGTCTCCCCCTGCTCCCTCCAGCCGCCTCACCCTCCTCGGCCCCATGCACAGCCTCGCAGGGCAGAGCCCTCACTGCATTCAGATCCGCTCAAGAGAAGTCACGAGCAGGTGCCGGGAGACGGATGAATCCACGCCTTCCTGGTTTGCAAACCACCATGACCCAACACTGACACGTGGTATCGTAACCGGTGGCTTAATCTACTTGTCTCCGTGGCTGGACGGCAAACCCTCCACAGGACAGACCAGATCACCCTCACCTTTATGTGTCCAGCACCAAGCATAAGACTGCAAACAGTCAGTGCTCAATAAATGTGAGAACCACATAACGGAATAGCTCGGAAAGAATAACTCTGTCGCGTCAGACCAGCTATTTGGAACCACCCACTGAGTGGGTCCTGCTGGAGGTACGTCCATGACCTTCAGACTTTCCTTCTTCAAAAGGAGGAAACACTGGTCATCTGTCCACCAACCTGCTCAGGTGCCTACGGCCAAAAGGGCATCTGTTGGGTGTGACGTGCCCACGTCCCCGGTGAGGCCCACCTCCCCCCAGGCATGTATGTGCTATTTCATAATTCACAGTTCCTAGAGCCTCTGGGAGCTTTGTGTGCGTGACCTTGAAGATGCAGTTATCAAATCGGCAGATGTGTAATCCAACTCCTAGAAAAGAAAGACCATCACCTTTTCCTCCACAGACTGGCCAAATTAAGTTACTAAGTCTAAACACAGGCAAACAAAAAAGGGGCTCTAATTTCTGTAAGGCTTTGGACTCAAGCCTGTCTCTGAAATCCGTAAGAATCACTTGTACCTGGAGGGTGCTGGAGGCCCCGACATACCCAGGGCCATGCTCCTGAGACCCCTTCTCAGACCTGCTGGGCCCCGCTGGGCGGCCAGCTTGCTCAGGGAGTGGGGGCAGAGAGGGCCTGGAGTGGGGGGTGCCCAAGAATTGTTCCCCTCTTCCAGTTACTATCGCAGGAACGCCTCCTGAAAGTTCTGTTGGGTTGTTTTTCTTTTAATGTTTATTTATTTTTGAGAGAGACCGAGAGAGAGAGGAGCAGAGAGGGAGACAAAGAATCCGAAGCAGGTTCACTACAGAGCCCGACGCGGGGCTCGAACTCACAAACCATGAGATCCGAGCCAAAGTTGGATGCCTAACCGACTGAGCCACCCAGGCGCTCCCTGAAAGTTTTAACTGTAAGAAAAAACACAGGTGCAGCATTATTTACTATCAGCAAGAAACGGAAGCAACCTAAGCATCCAACGATGAATGAATGAGTGAATGAAAGAAACGTGGTATATACACGCAATGGAATATTATTCAGCCATAAGAACAATGAAATCCTGCCATTTTTGATGGTGTGGATGAGTCTTGAAGGCATTATCCTCAGTGAAATAAGTCAGAAAGAGAAAGACACATACAGTATGATCTCACTTATTTGCGGGATCTAAAACAAAAAACACCTCACAGATACGTAGAATGGATTGGTGGCCACCAGAGAACAGGGGTCAGGGGTGAGTAAAATGGGTGCAGGAAGTCAAAAGGTACAAAGTACACAAATCCTGGGGATGTCACGCACAGCATGGTGACTACAGCTAATAACCCTGTGTTGAGTATTTGACCGTGGCTAAGAGATAAGATCTTAAAAGTGTTCATCGCTAGAAGAAACAGTGTTGTAACTATTACCGTGGCTGATGTTAACCAGACGTACTGGGGAGACCATTTCACAATATCCACAAATATCAAATCGCTGTGTCCTACACCTACAACTGATACAATGTTATCTGTCAATGACGTCTCAACAAAAAGAAAAAAGGCCTACATCTGAAAGTTGTAAAAGTCAAATGAGATGATTTATTTAGGGTACCTGGACTGAAAATAAATGTATATTCCTACCTTAAAAACACACATGGCACAAATTTTACCACCTTTGTCATTAAAAAAAATTTTTTTTAATCTTTATTTATTTTTGAGAGAGAGACAGCGTGTGAGCAGGGGAGGGGCAGAGAGAGAGGGAGACACAGAATCCGAAGCGGGCTCCAGGCTCTGAGCTGTCAGCACAGAGCCTGACGTGGGGCTCGAACCCACGGACCACAAGATCATGACCTGAGCCGAAGTCGGACGCTTCCCCCTCTGAGCCCCCCCCCCAGGCACCCCACATCTTTATTATCTTCAAGTGTACATCTCAACAGTGAATTGAATGTCCACGTTATTGTGCAACCGATCCCCAGAACTTTTTCATCTTGCAAAACTGAAACTCTGTTTCCATGAAACATTCCCCATTTTCCTCTTGCAAGGCTTCTGTCTCCATGCATCCGACTCCTCCAGGGACCTCATGTAGGTGGAACCGTGCATCATTTGTCTTTTTTGTGACTGGCTTGTTTCACTGAGCATCAGTGTCCCAGGTCCCTCCACGTTGTGGCGGGTGTCCGAACATCCTTCCTTTTAAGTTGCTCTACTGCAGGGGTAGACCACGAGGGGTTGATCCACCCAGCCCTCCAAGAACATTTCGGCCGCTTCCTCCTCTTGACGCCTGTCATGAACGCGGGCACACACATCTCTCTGGAGAGACCCAGCTTTCCATCCTTTTGGGTGTATGCCCAGAACCAGGATAGTTCGACGTTTAACTTTTTACGGAACCTCCACACTGTTTTCCGCAGTGGCTGCACCAGGCCGCGTTCCCATGCACACCACACGAGGGTTCCCCTTTCTCCACGTCCTCGCCAACACCTCACCTTTCTGTCCTGATGGGTGCGAGGGGATAGCTGTGGTTTTATTTGCATTTCTCTTGCGTTTAGGGACGTGACGCACCTTTTCTTGTACGCGTTGGCCATTTGTAGATGATCTTCGGAGAAATGTTGATTCAAGTCCTTTGCCCTTTTCAAAAATCAGATTATCCGATTACAAATCAGATCACAAATTGTTAAGCTGTAGACATTCTTTACGCGTTCTGGATGTTAACAAATTTGCAAAGACCTTCTCCCATTCTGCGGCCAGCCGTCGTCACCCTGTCCATTAGGGTCGATAAGTCCCATTGGTCTATTTTTGCTTTTGTTGCCTGTCTTCCGAAAATTTTCCCAAGAGGGCCCAGACTGTCCTTTCTGCAATAAAGTTCCAACCCCGTGGTGGTGAACAAGTTATGGCAGTAGCCTGTGGCCAACACCTCTCTGAAAGAGCTGCTCACTGCCGCCGACGTGCCTTCCCGCCCCGGGTGGACAAATCCTCATCACTCACTTTTCGAGTGGGTCTGGCACGCATTGGTATCTCTCTGTGGAGTCCTCCCCGGCCACATCCTTGAAGGAAAACCACTTGAAGCATCAGACATCTGCACCCCACTCTCCCCCCTAACATGATCGGACAGCACATCCAACACCGCCTCGTCACGCGGCATTCCCTCAGTCACATGTCAGTCCCCGCGCCTGCCGCTCCCAGCAAGGCAGGACCCCTGTGCACAGCATCCAGCTGTGGCCGTGCTGAGCTGTCACATTTGTTCCTTCTCTATGTCCGCCCCCCCCTCCATCTCCAAACCAGCCGGAATCTCGCAGATGTCAGACACCCCTGAGAACACAGGTCAGGGAACGATTCTCTCTTCAAGATCACAGGCCCCTGAAGACTGGGGGAGAGGCACCACCATGGGGTCAGAGCGCATAAATTCAACCCCAACCAGCCCCCAGCCAGCACACGGACTGGGCCTGATGGGTAATGACCCCTCTGAGACCCATACTCGGGTCTAGAAAATGCGAGGAGTAGCCCCCACCCCAGTCGCTGGACTGTAGTGGGGACTTCATGGCTGCTTCAGGCCCCTGTACTGTGCCTGACATGCAGGGAGTTCCTAAGTACTTGCTCAGCCACTAGAATACGTCCCCTCCACGCTGTGCCAATCGCCACACCGAGCCCAGTTGGCCATGTCTGCGCCAGTGGGCACCGAGGACGGTGTGGGGAACCTGGTACCGGAGAATCACCAGCTCGGAACGCGGTGATCCAGACAGTCTCAGCCAGGGATGCTCAGCTGCCCACCCTGGAAACAGCATCTTTTATCTCGTGAGGGGCAGCTAGGGGCCCTGTGGTCCAGCCCAGTGATGGCGTGACCGAGTGATGGGGGTGGGGGTGGCTGGGTCTGTGCTAGCCACGCCCCCAAGTGCCGTGTGCCTTAGACGGCCTCCTCACCTCTCCTCGGAGCCAAAGCTATGGGTCGTGTGCGCGTTAAGTCTCGCTCGGCTGCAGAATCACCGGGAACACAATGTGCACCAGAGTGAGGGGTCAGATCCGGGCAGATGGTGAGCTTGCAACCCGGGGGCCCCCCCAGCCTCAGCCCTGACCCAGGAAGGCTCCGGGGCCCCCCAGAGCTCCTTCCGAGGTAGCTGTTCCGGGGTCGGCCGAGAGCCTCCAGTCCTCTGGGAGCTCCAGGCTGGTGCACCCAGGGGCGCGGTGGCTCAGGCTCAGGTTGGGGGGATGGAGCCCACGATGACCTCCACCCTCCCCTGACTGCAGCTCCCGGGGTTTCCATTACCTTCAGCCTTCCACTCAGCCACCTGCTCACGCCCCACGTGATGGGACAGCCCCCCTCAGCACCCCCCCCGGTGGTGCGCACACGGGTCCCCGTGGTCCACCTCCCCGCGTCACCCGGCCCTTGGGGGTGCAGGGGAGGCCTCGAGAGATCCCTTGCCCCCGGCCTCCCAGCCCACCCAGCAGCTCCCTTCTGATAAGGACACTACTGCATGTCCGTGTCTGGCTTTCAGTCACTTCATCTGCAACATGGGCCCCCGTGCTGCACTCAGTCCTTGGATGTGCTTGTTGGCACGCGGTGGGCAGGCTGGCAGACGGCGCTCTTTCCTGTTTTATTGAAAGGTTCCCAGCCACGACTCTCCCATCGGGGCCCAAGCATCCCAGGAACCAGGCTGGGTTCTTACTGACCCCCACACCCCCAAAGCCACTAAATAAAGCCTGGTGAGACACGGGCACTTCACTGAGTGTGTGAGTGTGTGTGTGTGTGTGTGTTGAGGCCAGAGGAGATGACATCGCACAGAGCACAGCATTTCACTCCACAAATCCCCCCCCCGCAGATCGACGTGTGCCTCTACCCCTGAAGATCACCCGTGTTAGGACGCACTGTGCCAGGTGCCCTCTCTCTCTCTCTCTCCACCCTCTTCTTCTGCAGAGAGCGACTTAGGGGACACGGCCCCAGGAGCCCCCAGCCTGCAAACTGCCACTGGCTTGTACAGCGGACAAGGCCCTCCCAAGACGAGGCTGACTCCACTCTCAGCAGCGAACTCAAGGCCCGCAGGCTGCCAGGAGTGTTCTCAGAAGCAGCCGGGGAAGGATAAATCACAAACGCTCTTTCCTGCCCCGGAGAAAATGTGGTTTTAGATCACGGACCCTGCACAAATCCCCACTATTGCATTTCTGCAACATGCAAACACGTCCCACGTACAAACCAGGGGCCTGGCTGCGGACCGGACCCGGCGGTCGTAACACACAACCAAGATGTGGTCCCGAAGCTGCTCCCAGGGAAACGGGCAAGCAGGTGCCTGGAGGTCATTACTAGGGGCGCACCAGACCCGGGGAGCTCGAGGTTCACCTGAAACACTGCAGAAGGACTGCCAGGGCCACCAAGAAGGGGATGCCGGGCTGGGTACTGGAGGGAGGTGTGGAGGTGGGGGCATGCTGGTGGAGGGAAGGCCGCACAGAGGCACCGAGAGCCAAGAGGCGACGCGCAGAGAGGCAGGTGCCTGGATCGCTCATCCACTCTGCCCCTCCTTTGGACCCCTGCCCCCTGCCGGTCCCTGCTGCAGTGCTGGGTGTGCTGCGAAAGGGCAAGACCCCTTCCCCGCCCTGGGGAGCTCAACTGGAGGATGCCTGGGGATCAGAAGAGCAGGGCCCGCAGCCACCAAGGGACCAGGGCAGCCCCACGGTGGGGCTGGCATAAAGGAGCCGGCATTCGACACGGCCCAGGGTGCCACACACCATGAGGGGCACGTGACGCACGTGTTCCACCAACCGCTTACGTGGTTAAATCAGACGTGGCCTGGGAAGGGGCCACTGGCCGCTGGTGTGAAGAAGGCACCGCACACCTGTCAGAAGAGCCCGTACCCGGAACGCCGACAGGACCGGCTGCCGGCGAGGGTGTGGGGCGAGGGGGCCAGGAGGGACGCACCCGGGACCGCATGTGGAAGGCAGCCTGACATTTCTCACCGAAGGAAACACTCTCGCCATGCACTCCAGCGCGTGCACTCTTTAGCAGGTACCCACAGGAGTTGCATGCTTACAGCCACACAAAAACCTGCACGCGGATGCTTCTGGCAGCTTTATCCATGACCGCGAAAACTTGGAAGCACCCAGGGTACCCTTCGGTAGCTGGACGCCCGGACGGTGGCGCACCCGGACGATGCTAGGAAGAAATGCGCCATCGAGCCACGAGAGGCCACGAAGGAACCGGAAACACGTGTTATCAAGTGAAAGAAGCCAGTCGGGAAAGCCTGCAGGCTGCATGATTCCAACTATGGGATCTTCTGGAAAAGGCAAGCTACAGAGACAGTAAAAAGGTCAGTGGTGGCCAGGGGTCGGGGGTGGGGGGGACAAGGGGAGGAGCGGGGGAGGCACAGAGATTCTTGGGGCAGCGAAGGGACTCGACGACAGCACAGCGATGGCTCCGTGTCGCTACACGTTTGTCCACGACCACAGAGCGCGCACCACCAGGAGTGAGCCCTCGTGTGCACTGTGGACTCTGGGCGACCGAGACGCGTCTGTGTGGGATCATCCACCGTCACACGTGTACCCCCTACCTCTGGTGGGGTGCTGCTAACAGGGCAGGGCGTGCCTGTGTGCAGGTGGGGGGTGGGGCGCAGGAAATCTCCCTACTTTCCCGCCATTCTGCTATGAACAAAATGACACTGCTCTGAAAAAGTCAAGTCATAATAAAATATTAATAAATTGCAATTCACAGCACGGAGGGACGGGAGATGTTCCACTATCGGGAATCACAGGCAATCACACGCCTGTGTAATACAGACGGGGGGGTGGGGGGGGGGTGACCAAGAACACTGAATCTGCGTCCTTTCTTACACCACGTATTTGTAAAGGGGGTGTGGTTTCTTTAAGCTGGAAGAAGGTTCGCGGCCTCCTAGCAGGAAAAGAAGCTCCAAACCAGCAAAGTCTTTTTTTTTATCTTTTTTTTTTTCAATGTTTATTTATTTTTGGGACAGCGAGAGACAGAGCATGAACGGGGGAGGGGCAGAGAGAGAGGGAGACACAGAATTGGAAACAGGCTCCAGGCTCTGAGCCATCAGCCCAGAGCCCGACGCGGGGCTCGAACTCACGGACCGCGAGATCGTGACCTGGCTGAAGTCGGCCGCTTAACCGACTGCGCCACCCAGGCGCCCCACCAAACCAGCAAAGTCTTAATAGCACAGACCCCGAGATTCCCCTTCTTCCCTGGCCCTGCAAGTTCAAAGGTTTAATCGCCGGGCATGAAGAGCCAAGAGATGCCCGGGAAAGGAGAGGGGCAACCTGCCCATTTCTGGCCCCGGGGACCCCGCTGTCCAGGCTGAACAGCACCCGGCCTGTCTCACCGAGTCCTGCCAACAGCAAGCTGCACAGGTGCGGGGGGCGGCGCGGGGGGCGAGGTCAGCCCCCACCCGGCAGCGTGAGCTGGCTGGGCCGCCCACGAGCAGAGGCCAAGGGCCTAGGAAATGCCACATATGCTGGGCGGGGCCTCTCCCCTCTCTCTCTGAGGAACTGCCCTGCTACATTTGGGGACCACCAACCGCCTTGGCTGAGCCAGAGACGCCCAACGGAACAGCACGGCCCCAGAGCAGGAGCTGGGCCATATTCGACACAGAAGGGAAATCTTCGCTCCTACACAGTCTGCTGAAGGCCCAGACGGCCTCAGTTCAATTCCTGCCTCTTCCCGCTGCTGGCTGGGTGCCCTTAGCTGAGCCACCAAAGCCCCTCAGTTTTCCCACCTGGGGAGTGGCAGTTAGAGACCCAACCGGACTGGGTTCTTTTCAGGATTAAAATAACACTACAGGCCAAGCGCTGTGGTCAGGGGGCGGGGTGGGCCAGAGCCTCAGCTGTGGGCACTCAGCGTCTCTGCCCGTGTGCTCTGCTCTGCGCACCCCTGCGGGGCGGAGTGCTTCTGCCATAGTCGCTTACCCCCGCTGCCAGTCTGGAGCGGGACACGGGAGCTCCTAAGACCCCTCTGCAGCCAGGTCTGGGTTGGGTGAGACCACCCGGTCCCCCCTGAATCTAGGTCACCCCAGCTACACCCTGTGAGTTTTCCAGAGCCCCCAGCCTTTCCCCGCTCCCAGATCCTGAGGCCAGGCCCCGGTGCATGCCTGACACTCTCCACCTTACAGAGGGTCCCAAAGGAGTTGGGAAATCCCAAGGACCGCCTTCCTGAGTGCACAGGAGCTTACTGAAGGGCAACTTTGTGCAGGAATGTCCCCAACAAGCATTTCTGACGGGGGTTGGAGCGCAACACGGACCCCGGGCCAGGGTGCACCCTGGCCTGGCATCTCTGAGCACCCAAGGCCTGCACTCACCACATACCCCCCCTCCCCGACCCCTCTGGGCCCTGCCGTGGCCCCATGGGCACCGGCCTCCACTCCAGTCCCACGAGCGTGTGCCCACGCCCGCCCTCAGGAGCCTGGAGCCGCCTCTGCCCTGCGCGCCTGGCCTCCCATTCAAGCCTCCCTGCTGTTTACTTGAACAGCCAGAAGACAGAAAGCCACGGCTCTGAGTCACCCGCTTTGCTCCACGGTCGGCTCCGATTCAGGCAGGAGGCCCACGGCGGGGACCAACCCGGCCCTTAACCTCCTGGTTTCCCTGTGTCGCGACAGCGGAAGGTATCTGTGGTTTCGGGTTGAGGATTAACGCACGGCTGGCCTGGCAGCCACGGCGTGTGGACGGGTGTGCGGACAGGAGACAACCTGGAGCACGCACACGCGCGGGGCTCTCCCTCCCCGAGCCTCGGGCCGCTTCACCGGCCGCGATGGAAACTTACAAATATTTCAGTCATGTTTCTGAAGAGGGTTTGGTCATCTGGCAAGTGCGGTCCCAGAACTTGCCAGAAGTATGCCTCAAGCGCAGCCCAGGGGTGAGAGAAGGCAGGCCTAGTGCAAATTAGATTATGGCTGAGGATCCGAAGGGGAACGTGAAACTAGGAGCCCGGGGGCTGTGCCTGGGGACCCGCGGCTGGTGTCAGGTCCCCAGGGAGGTGGAGGTGTGATTCAGGCACTAGGGGCGGGCAGGGCTCTGCACAACCGGGCCTGCTGGTGGGGGGACGAACGCCCTGGCCCACCGGTGTCCCCTCCAGTCCCGAGCGCTCACGGGCCACCACAGAAGGCCAGGGGCTAGGGGGGAGTGGTTTTAACTTCTCATTCCGATCATCAGCGAGCACAAACGCCTCCAGAAGGTAAGGGGGCTTCTGTCGTATTTCACCTCCCAGTTTGGGTTAGGAGAACAGTCCATGAGTTCGTCGTATTTCTCCCACTTACTTCTATACATCTGAAGTGGTTTGGGATTAAGAACATACATCCCCAAATACATGGAGACGAGTTTACAAAATAAAGACAAGTGAGGGTGTTGTTAGCAAATGGGGGAGGGTACCACTGGGGGGTGGGGGCAAGGACAAGGACAAGCGAATTCCCGAATTCCCGTCATCGCAGGAAACCCATACACAGCCCTGCTGCCCCAAACAAACCTGCAGGGCCATATTCATACGTTCTGGAAAAGTGTATCAAATTAAACTACCACTAAAGGCACTGCATAAAAATAACAGTCAGGGTCTTGAGCCGAGGGTTGCAGAAGACAGAAAAATAATTATTTTTTCTTACGTGACTTCAGGTGGCACCAAACCTGTAATATTGAGAGGAGGGCCCAGCGAGGGTAACAACAGGCTGGTCCCTCAGGAGCGGGGCTTTGCGATGGGCACGCAGGGGAGGGGTCAGCAGAGTCCAGACCAACGACTCGCTTGTGCACACCCTCGACTCTGCCTTTAAAAAGCGCCGTTTTCTTGGAGTAAGACCCTGGCATTTGCAGAAAATTTGGCAAAGAAGGAAAGCCAATGAGAATAATGAGAGGGAGATCTCTGACTCCCGCTTTGGCCGAGAGGCATTTGCTCTTGTGACAGGTGCACCCATGCAAACGCACACTCTGATTCTGCAACCTGGGGTCAGAGGATCTGCTCCACTGGGGGGGCATTTCCCTCGATGACCAAGTATTTGCTTACAAGACACAGTTTTCTGGCTGTGTAGTGTTTCAGTGGATGGATAAACCACAATTTATTCACCCTTTTCCCAGGACATTTTGAAGGATCTCACTAATATTAGCAAAGCTGATAGGAATCTTTTTGTTGCTGGTCAGATTCGACCATCGTTCGCTCAGGATCATGCCTAAAAGCGGCCTTGCTTGTCTCAAAGGGCATTTCCAAATTTTAAATCTTCTCTTATCCACTGTCAAAATCTCTTTGCAAAGATTTTACAATTTACCTTCTCACTGTCAGAGACGAGATGGCCTGGTTCCTCACGCTTTCCTTAATACTGAGGGTTCTCTCTCATCTTTGCAATGTAATTAAAAAATGGTATCCTCCTGCTTATTTTCCATTTCTTGGATTATTGCTGAAGTTCGACACTTGTCACGTGTTGACTGGACAACTGAACTTCTTCTTTTGCAAATTCGTATTATGACCCTTATTCCACTGGGGTTTTTAAAGTTTATTTATTTATTTATTTATTTATTTATTTAGAGAGAGTGAGTGAGCGAGCACGAGTGAGGCAGGGGCAGAGAGAGAGAGGCAGACAGAGAGAACCCCAAGCGGGTCAGCACAGAGCCCAACGTGGGGCTCTATCCCACGAATCGTGAGCTCATGACCTGAGCCAGAATCAAGAGCCAGACACTTAATGGACTGAGCCACCCAGGTGCCCCATTTTCTTTTGGATTTTTAAGGGCTCTTTGTCTAGTAAGATTCACTGTACCACACGTTGGTAAGTACTTCCTTCCTGGCTCATGAAAAGTTTCTGATTGTCGTAGTTTTTTGATATATAAAATATCAAATTTTAATTTAGTCTGTTATTTTTTTCCTTCGTATCTTGCGCTTTGCCACGCTTGGAACGATCAGCTTCAGGAAGCAGAGGCCGTGAGGGGTCCCCATTAGTGAGTGTCACTTAGGTCCCCCGAATGCTCGCTGTTGGCTTCTGTGGGACAGCGACCTGGGTGTCCCCACCGCACTCCGTCTGTGGCCACACGCTGCAGGTGATGGGTGCCGCACGAAGCATGGGGCTTCGATGGGGTGAAGTGAATGCATCCCCTTGGGTTCACCAGGAAGCCTGATTTTCTATTAGCTTCGACAGCAGATGCGGCCAGGGAGTTAGCTGAGTGGGTGGACATCGGGACACCGAGGCCAAGAAGGGCAGGTGAGTGGGAGGGAGGGGGCACCAAATTTGGTTCACGTCACCTGGATGGTAGGTCTGAAAACCAACTGCACAATCAAGGGCCAGAGACCCCCGCTTTGTGCCCTATCCTGACCGGAGCGCGGGCCCCAGTGTCCCGAGGCTCGCAGTGCATGTGGATATGCCCGAGGCTCCTGTTCAGGTACTCGGAAGCAGGAGAGAGGAGACCGAGGGTCTGGGTGCACAGCGAGGGTGCGTAGCCCGCTGACAGATCAGAGTGTGGCCCCTCTGCAGCCGGGAACCCACGCGGGGCTGACGGATGGGGACCCTGACATAACATGTGCCGGCTCGCGGTGACCCAGGCTCCCGGCAGGACAGGCGCACAACCAGGGGTGCGAACAACCAGGTCCCCTCCTGCTGTCTCTCCCTGGAGCCCTCCTTGTCAGCACGTGGGGACTCTCCGTCTCTCTCCCTCCCTCCCTGGTGGCCGTCCCTCTAGTGGGGCAGGGGACTGGGAATGAACAGACAGCAACGTCCTTTGCTCTGGGCAACCCCACTCTCCTGGGAAGGTTCTCTGGGACCTGCTCCCAGTTCTGAGCCCTTCTGCCTGGATCCCCTAGACGCTAACAATCCATGAGCCCAACACGATCTTTGTGGTTTCTGTGAGTGTCTCAAAGTGCTGACTGTGCAACACCATGAAGGTGAGAGTGTTTAAAAAAGAAACAGAGCTGGATCATGGCCACGGAAGCCCCAGGAAAGCCACTGTGCCGCCCCCTCCCTCCGGCGTGGGTCCCGAGGGCACAGGAGGCTCAGGAGACACAGCAAGGTGGACGGATCAGGGGAGGAAGGAGAGGAAACACCGCCCCATTGGCCGGAATGACCTCGCGCCACCGTCCTGCCTGCACTGTCTCTGAGGACAGCACAAGAGCACACGCACCACCCTTTGTTCTATTCCCAGCCCCCAGGGGGAGAGGGATTCGCTGAGAGGAGCAGCCCTGAGCCGCAGGCCCCGCTTTTCAGGAATCATCATGTCCCTGGTGGCAGCATCGACCTCTCCAGGGTCTCTCTGAGCCTGAAATGGTCTGACCCACCGACAGGCCCAGGGAGACCACTGCTGGATGGGTCAAAATGTCCATGGACCAACCCCCCCCCCCCCCGCCCCACTACACATGGGGAAAATGCCCCCTGCTTTCGGCTGGGTGCACTGCAAACGACACACAAGCTGGGGCCACCCCTTCCCCATCCGTCACCCCCAAAGGTGCGAGAAGACTCAGTCCATGGAGGGGCTTCCAGAGAGATAACTGACGGGCCACCAAAACCAAAGGGTGGGCAACGAAATGTCAAGTGTGTTATCAGAGTTCTTGGACGTATTTTTTTTTTTTTTTTAAGGACCACATTAGGAAATAGATTTCCAAAGAGAAAGAGAAACGTTTTCAGGCAGGGATAACTTGAAGGCAAGGATAATGTGGTAAGCACAGAATCACGTGGATAAACCGAATAGCGCCTCTGGAAAGGGGCGAGAAGCTGAAGGTTTAACACCCCCCCCCCCCCCCCCCCCCGTCGGCCCCGCCGCAGTCCTACTTGTTACCAGAGAGACCCACGGTCTGTGTCACAGGATATTTTGGGGTTTGTAAAATACACATTATTGACATTTATCGTTTTGACCATTTTAAAGTATAAAGTCCAGCGGAAGTAAGCGCACAGCCCTCACGCTGTTGTGCAAGCATCATCACTATCTATTTCTAGAACTTTTTCATCACCCCGAACAGAAATCCCACACCCGTTAAGCAATTCTGTTCCAGGCCCCCTCCTGCAGGCCCTGGAAGCCACAGATGCACTTTGGCCTCTTCCGGATCTTTCGTCCAGATGGAATCCTACCACATTCGGTCTCCTGCGCGTGACTTCTGAGACTCAGCGTCGCGTTTCCAGGGTCCGTCCGTGTTACAGCAGGTGCCGGCGTCTCGCTCCTTCTTACGGCTGAACAACATCCCACCGTGGGGCTAGCCCGCATTTTACTGACCCCGCAGCCGGCAGACGCCCGTACTATTTTCACCTTGCGGCTCTCGCGAGCGGCGCTGCGATGAGCACACACGCGCATGTTTTTCGGTGGAGACCCTGCTTTCGATTTCTGGGGGGCGTACAGCCAGCGGGGAGTAGCCTGGTCACACTGACTCACAGAATACTGACAGCTGCAGGGCATCAGAAACTCACTCCCTCATTCACATAGAGGGAAACTGAGTCCCGGAGAGGCGACGCCTTACCCAGGCCACGCGCAACCGCGGGCTGAGAGCAGGAGTGTCCTCCAGCCCACGTTCAGCTTCAGGAAAGTCTCGTTGATCCCCTAGACCCAAGACAAAGGGTTTGCCCAACAGATTAACTCGGGGGCCCAGCCGGCTCCTACAGAGGCCACAGACTGTGGTTTCCGCCTAATTAAAATTTCCCCAAACAGAAAAATGCCGCGCAGGAGGAGTTTGCTAAGGGAAAGTATTCCATACGGTGTCTTCTGGGAACAGTGACTTCAATAAATCGCAAAACCCACCGTGGAGAGTCACGCTGGTTACACGGAGCCACGGGCGCTGGAAAGCCCTCCCAGTGTGCGGGTTATTGGTTCCCGTCGTGCAGGATCACGCAGGGGAAAGCAGGTGGGCGCCCCGGGGACCCAGAAAGGCACCCCAGCCTCGCCCTCTGTCTGCACACACCGCCCTTCCCCTCGTGCTGCTTGGAAAAAGGAACATTATGTAACTAGCAGTAAACGAGATTTGCTGCATCTTTCAAAAAAGAAACGTACCCCACAAGAGATGGGTTTGGAGAATCTGCACATGGCACTGTCGTGCCAGTGACAGTGGCCGGGCACTTTCCTGACGCCCCTTGGAACAAAGTCAGAGGAGAAAACACTTGTAAAGTCACTGTGGCCTGGGTGGCCTCCTGCCTGGGGCGTGGAGGCAGAAGAATTGAGGTGGCCTTGCTGGGTGTGAATGAAGCGTCCTTTTTCCGGGAAGGCGGGCAGCGTGTTTATTCTGATAAAGCATTTTCCGCTCCCTCCCGAGGGGCCCGGAGGGAAGAAGTGATCCGTGTGCCTCCAGCAAGCAGCACAGGGGGAGGCATCGCGGCACCCAAGCCCGGGCCTTGCGTTTTGTCATCAAGGGGCCTCCACCCGCTCGGTTGCCCCGTCACCTTTTCCCTTTAATACATCGCGAGACGCTGGATTCACGTGTGTGGAGCCTTCGGAGACCCACGAGGAGAGCAAATGGCTCAACGATGAAATTATAGGAAAGCATCCATTTCTGAAATGTCACTAAACAAAAGTGGACGCAGCATAAGAGCTATCCTGAGATGAGTCAGCAGGTACATACATCACGGCCCTCACTTTGTGCTTATTGAAGTAGGAGAGGATCCCTATCCTCAAAAAGGAGTCCACAGGGGAGCTTTGGAATTGGCAGTGATTTAACATCCAGCAAAATCGCCTTAATTCTTCCCTCCGAGTGTTTCGCCGTGTGGACCCTTCCTCACACCTCAGCAACTCCATGAGAGATGAGCTCTGTGCGCACGGAGAGCCGCCTCGGCCCCTACCGACGATGCCACAAAACACCAGTGTGTGCTCATGGGGTCACCACGCGGTCCCCGGGGGGTCTGAGGTGGCTGAAGCCACTCAGGTTGCACGAGAGAAAAAAAAAATAAAACCAGGATAAATCAGGTTTCCTGGGGTCCAGATCTCTGGCACACTTCTGTTCTGGAATCACTGGAGCAGCTTTCTTAGGAAATAGTAATGATGGGCAATTAAGGACAGGGAGTCACCGAGCCCGGGCGGGGGGGGGGGGGGGGGGTTGGGGGGACCCCGTTAACGAGCCGCACCAAACTTCCCAGACCCACAACTGCCCAATCCCAGTGTGTTTCCTCGCCATGTGTGGTTGTGCTGTCGCTGGAACCTGACGATGGGCTTTCTGTTCACCCTTTATCGCTTATCATAATATGAAAATGTATGTGGGCTTTGGATAACAGTAATAACAACACAGAGGAGCCCTCAGCTAAAGAAGACAAGAAAGAAAGCTGGGTGTAGGGGTGGGTGGTGAAGGGCACGGCTGGGGAGGAAGTGCTCACCGGGCAGGAAAAAATGTGCAAAGGATCAAATCCTTCTCTCTGGGTTTCCCACCCACGCACGCAGACATCACAAAAGAGAGGAAAATCAGTTTTGATTATAGTTAGGGACCCATTTCTATGTGGTTCGCGTTTGCGAACGGTTTAAATTCGGGAAAACCCGTTTTCGGTGAGGATGCTGTGGGTCTGTGGGGCTCAATCAATCACGTGAAGGCAACACGTCTCAATTGGAGACAGAAAATCACGTCTTCCCCTCCCTCCTTTCCTTCCCAATTTGCAGTAAATCAGGCGTTTAAATCCCAGAGAAAGGACAGACACGTCACAGGCGGTCTCATAGGAACGGGATTCTCGGTCCACGCAGCCTCCTGGAAGTCAGCGCAGGACCTCCTAACCCCGCAGGCCAGCCTGCCTTCAGTCCTTCCACTGAGCCAGACGTCTCTGGCTGACAGGCACTCTGCACCCCCGGGTCCGAAAAGTCAAACAACGCAAGTGGCTTTTGGTTTCTGATCCCCCTGCACACCCTTCACGAGCCAAATCTACTTTAAGAACCGAGATCAAGGAAAGGAAATAGCAGTTTGATCTTTTATTTCTAGAGCTCTCGTTGGAAGGAAGACGCTGCCTGCTTCTTCCAGAACGTTAAATCAAAGTAGAACACACAAAGAAATCCACCGTGGCAGTAGACAGAGTCAGAGACTGTAAACTATGGGCCTGCGTTTTCTTTTAGGGAGTTTGTTTATTTTACAAGCTGTCCCTTCTGGAGCCCCCACTTGCCACGGAAGCAGGGAAAAAAAAAAAAAGAAAGAAAGAAAGAAAGAAAAGAAAAAAAAAGATCTCTTGAATCTCTTCAGAGACATGCTCAGAGAAAGAGAAAAGTTAGCGTGGCATTTTGTTTGCTTAGCAGTAGTAAAACAGCATTAACAACAAAAATGTGGGCATTTTTTTTTTTCCTCCAGGAGGAAACCGGCTAAAGTTTCCCTTCCCGATTCCTCCCTCCTCGAAGCAAAAGGCTAAAAACCTGCCCTAAGTTGTTCTGTGCTGAGTGGCCCTGTCTGGTGCTCGGGAAAGTCTCAGGGTGGGACCGCAGACCTCGGCTACGGGGTTGGGATTTGATGTCTGGTCACCACCAAAGGGTTAATGAAAACCAAGGTTTCTGCCCAAATCTTTCCTGAGTCAGGCACACATCAGATCTCCACGTTCAGAAAAACAAATGTGAACTCTGTCAAAAACGAAACAGTGGGACATACAAATCTAATGCCAGACAACATAACTAAATTTACCATTTCCACCCCCCCACCACCACCAATGATGCTGATGACTATTTTTTTAAAGGCCGAATGTGAGCTAAAAAGAAAAAGTATTTTCCAGTAACTGAAAGCTCTTTGGGTTACCCTTCCTTTCACTGATGGGGAAACTGTGATCGAAAGAGAGGTGGATGTGCCAATTTTAAAGGTATTGGTCTCAGAAGTTGAGAAGTAAAGTTACGATCCTATAGAGGAGGTCACGAGAAGCCGGGTCCTCTCCATTCCCCACCCCCCCCCCACCCCGGTCAAGTAACAGAAGAAAGCGTATCGGGATGGGAAACCGGGTTCTAAGCACCAAGTGTCCACAGACCCCACGCGCTGAGCTCCCTCAACCACGGGCTTCATACACATAATCGCAGGTGTCTGTTACTCTGAACCATCGAGCTGCACGAAAAGCAATACCGATATTCGAAGCAGGCAAAACACTATTTTGGTTCAAAACGACTCTATCTTCAATTAACCATTAGAAGTTTCTCTCGTGCCGGAATGAGGCTGCCTGCTGGCTTTCCCAGTTTCTGACTCAAGTCTCCTAGAGCAA